GTCTCCTTGTCCCATGTCTTCCCCAGGGGACGTATGCGATTTAATGCGCATCTAAGTGAGTACGGTGGGATGCGGCGGAGAGGAACAGCTTTTCTTAAATTTGCAAAGGGGCACGTTTCTACATACCCATAGTCTATGAAATGAACGACGCATGTTTCGCTTTCTTGATTAACTTCAAGGACTCGTCCTCTATAGCACCGATACGGAATTTGTAGTATTACTGTGCATGGCTGCCCCACACTCCATTTTGTAGACATTGTTTTTGGGTCAGGTTCTTCAAAATTCACACGAAACTTTACAGTTAATGCTTTGCGTATAAATTCCCGTATATGTTCGAGATTGATGTCATATAAGTATATTATACCCTTATCGTCTATGTACCTGCAATAAGAAAAAATATGGAGATTATGTTCGTACACTTTATGAGTGTCAATTAACTATTTATTCCAAAGTATGAATAAACAAAGTTATGACTATTTACAACCAAAAATTGCAGACCAGTGATTAGTCTTATTTAAATAGCAATAGCGGTATGTTTGATCTCGACATATTCGATACTTACGTTGGTAATGCAGTAAATTCTTTATCTAGTAATTCTGGTGGTAGCCAGTCCTTAGAGAAGGAAGGACTGGGATTTTCTTTATTAACCTCAACTTTTACTTCATCTTCGGCATTTTTATCAGTTGGAACCTGGACACAAACAAAAAAGAACTTTATCAAAATACATTTAGTTACATAATCTGTAGATCGAACAACATCAACTGAAGAGAAGCCCTCATAATTGCACATAATATAAAGACCCCAATTTTATAATTGGGTTAATTCCATACGTTTCTATTACTAGTAGGACTATAAATGTGGGAGAGGCATGCTTCGGCACGCATGGGCCGGCTCGACTGGAGTGATACCACGGCCTCACAGAAAACTGACATGAAACAACGCTTACGTTGTGTTTCGTCGTGTGAATGAGGTTACCGGATGCCGAATCACGCAGTCCCCCCCTCCCCAGTCTTCTCAGTCTCCCCCCCAACTTCCAAATCCTCCACAATCCTCAAATTCCCAATTCCCAAAAAACCGGTAACGCACTTGAAACGCCTCGGTGTTTCAAGTGTCCATAGGCGGCGACGATTGCTCACCATCAGGTGATTCGTCTGCTCATTTACCATAACAAAATTAAATAATATAAGTGCTTTAAATTTATATTTGTTACTTACGGCTTGAGGTTCGTTAGCGCTGCAGAGACACAGCTGTTCTATACTGTCAGCAAGTACTTTTTCATCCATTATTCCTTCTTCTGCAAGTTCTTTAATGAAGATTTTTGTAGAGGAGACTGTAACAATCAGTTCTTCTGGATGAGCAGTGGTATATTTGTAAAACCTGAAGTTTCAGTGTTCCGCGGCAATAATATCGTAAAGTGACTCCGACAGAGCTTCGAGTGCGCTTGCGGTTATCTGTCTGACTGACTGTGTTCATCTTGTAAAGTTCCCTTTTATATACTAACGAAGAAAATTACCACGTTACAGTAAACAATGGCATTATCAAAGCACAATCTTGTACGGGAGTTAAAGAACAAGACATCCGTCCATCCCTTTGTTCGAAAACAAATTCGTTTTGTTCTATTTATGAAAAGTTTTATTTTGTCGAACAAAGGGTTCTACTTTGGCTATTCAAAAGAGTTTTAGTAATTTTGGCTAATTTTAGGAAACATAATTGCCTCATTAGCTAATTTAATTGAGCGTGGTATTTTTATTTTGTTCGTGGTATTTATACTGCAATTTCATAAATGTAATGGTTTAGGCACATATTGACAAAACAATTAATTGATTCGGACCCTTATGCTAACCTAACCTAACCTTTAAGACAGAAATAAAGACAGAAATATTACATCTATTTCATAAATTTTTAATGATTAATGATTAATGTAAATGAGTAATGAAAAAATGATTAATGTCCCATAAAAGCATATTATCATTTGATAAAATGAAAAGATTCTGTAACATAATATAAGGAACACAATCTCTAGGTACACTAGTGTATGATATATTTGTATTCTATTTAAACGCATTATTATCTCCGGAACTACTCCTTTGAATTGAATATATTTTTGAGATGGATAGTCCATTTATCGAGGAAGGCCATGGGCTATAGAATATCGCTATTAGTAGATATTCATCATCACATGAACAGCCCATAGCCACTGCAGACCAAAGGCGTATATCTTCTCGCACGGAGATGTCTTTGAGCATTAATCACAACGCTTGCTCAATAAAGGTTGGCTATTTAAAACTAATGATTTTAAATTGTTAGTTCAGGTTTCTTCGCGATAGTTTTACTTCACCGTATGCCATTGACGTCTAAATAATTTTAAGAAGTACATACAGTTCGCAAAAAGTGATATTGGTACTTGGCAGGTTTCGAGCCCACAGCCTCGTGCATGACAAGCGGCATCGTGTTAACCGTGCATTAGAGGTTCAGAACGCAATCCTTTCTAGTGAGACCCCTTTACAGGCAACTTAACCTAATATAAACATCACAAAGAAACTATAAATATACTCACGTTGTCTGCATAAAGCACATACTAATATATCAATATCTATACATATAATAAAACTATAGAAGAGTAAATTCTGTACATTGAAAATATTAAGATAATAAATAGTGGGTGTTACTAGATAGACACCGAACTCAAAAATGTGATAAAATTATTTCTTTTTCTGTCTGTCTTTGTGTCTTTCTGTGCCAAATTGATTTATCGATATCGAGTATATATATTATCGATTTAGCTGTTCTTGAGATATAAACTAACACTACATTATTAAATGTATATATAGATTTGCATTTAACATTGTATAAAGGTGGACATAATGCAAGAGACTTTACTTGGTAAGCAGGCTGTAATGTGTTGGACCAAAACAATACATTGATCTCTTTTATTGAAATATCAAAACTCCAAAGCTGACCTATACGTTCGGTGGATTGGAGGAGCTTCGTCTCTTTTAATTCTTGAAGGCAGCACTCTCACTATATTTGAACATAGTTATAATTTTCGTGAGACATACTATTTAATCATTATGTTTTTTGGTTTACTCATATCATCATTAAACAAGGAACTCGACTAATCGCCACGTGGTATATCGCGGAATATCGCTCATGAACATGAGCCTCTAACATGGCTTGAAAGTAGTCGACCTCCCGACACAGTAGAAGTACGGTGAACCACTTGTCCAACGAACATATAATGTGTAATAAATAATAATACATGTATGTTAATGATGTCGACAATCATACTATAATTATTATATAAAAAAAATGATGCTGCACGTGCGTTCGTTTACAAACATACAAGTTTACATACACTTGACACCCAAACCACAAACAACCTCATCGAGATCAACTCGAAGATCAACCTCATCGATCATCGAGAATCGAACGTTATGGCATTCAAACGAATCTTAAATCAATCAATCAATCAGAACCTTATAATTTTACCACATATTATTATGTTTTATTGTAACAATAATATTTTTTAAACATCTTCTTATATCTTAAAGTTCTACGTTCAAGAGTAAAATTTAGATCCTTTATGACGAGGAGTATCCAAATCACCCCCTTGTATATTCTACGATTTTAAGTAGTATTCGAGTTATAATATTTTTAATGATTTCTTTCCTCATTTTCACCAAACAGAAGTTTAGAATTTTTTTTTCTCGTTTTTTCAACATTTCTCGTTCAGTCATTTTCGATAACTGACTAACAAAGTCTAACTTCTACTATCTTGAGGGAAATCTTTATGGTCAATAATTAATTTAATTTATTTGACATTGCTTGTGTGACATTCTATAATATAATTGACAATTACTTTTTTACATTATATATCTAATTTGACATTAATTTTTTGACTTCAGTGGTATGAATAATTATAATTTCTTTGACATTATTGTATTCTAACAACATTACAAATAATTCAATTCAATAGACCTAATTTTATTATGTAATTATTTTTATAACATATCTTTGCATGCCAAGTTAAGGCAAAATATGGAGAAACTATAAACTTTGTTAACACCTATATATTATGTACCTATGTTTGCAAATGATTAAATGAATATGAATAACTTGGCACCCTTAAACTAAGACTTTATCTAGGCATTGTAGAATTTACTTGGAAATTGTTCGAAAGCTCAAAATTACGATTAGAGCTCAGTACACATGAATTACTGGCTTAATCGTAGGGACAGGATCATTTACATTTTTATTTGATACTTTGAAGATTTATGTCCTCAGACGTAAATAGTTAATTGTATAAAGGGTCCGAATCAATTAATTGTCCATATTTGCCTAAACCATTATATTTATGAGATTGCAGTAAAAATACCACGAACATAATAAAAATACCACGTTCGGTGCATTGGTTAATGAGGCCTTAATGTTTTCTTAAATTAGCCGAAATTACTAAAATACTATTGAATAGTGAAAGCAGAATGCTTTGTTTGTCAACGTAGCACTTTTCATAAATAAAACAAAACGAATTTGTTTTCGAACAAATGGTTGGACGGATGTCTTGTTCTTTAACTCTCGTACAAGATTGTGCTTTGATAATCCCATTGTTTACTGTAACGTGGTAATTCCTTCGTTAGTATATAAAAGGGAACTTTACAAGATGAACACAGTCAGTCAGACAGATAACCGCAAGCGCACTCGAAGCTCTGTCGGTGTCACTTTACGATATTATTGCCGCGGAACACTCAAACTTCAAGTTTTACAAATATACCGCTGCTCATCCAGAAGAACTGATTGTTACAGTCTCCTCTACAAAAATCTTCATTAAAGAATTGGCGTAAGAAGGAATTATGGATGAAAATGTACTTGCTGACAGTATAGAACAGCTGTGTCTCTGCAGCCCTAACGAAGCTCAAGCCGTAAGTAACAAATATAATTTTACTATTTTGTCAAAACTAGAATAATAAAAAAACCAAAAGCTAATATCAAACAAAAAGGCACCGACTTCTTACCTATCAGTGGGTGGGTAACCTATCAATAATAGTTTTTTTTGCTTTTTAGTTTTGACTTTTTGTTTGTTATTAGTTTTTGGTTTTTTGAAGTCGGTTTTTTAAACGCAGTGTTTATTTTATTATTTTATCATTTTCAGTGTAAAGCTACATAATTATACCCGTTTTGTTACTTATAATCTACATAGGTGCAAAGTTCTAATCAATACAAATTATACAAGCCCAAACACAAGGTAGTTACAGTATACCGTTGAGGAGTTCCCTTAACAATTACACTTCTTCATCATCAAACCCTTAATGACAGCCTCACTCTATCCAGGGGTAAAGTCCTCATCAATACAAATTAATCAAGCCCAAACACAAGGTAGTTACTGTATACCGTTGAGGAGTTCCCTTAACAATTACACTTCTTCATCATCAGACCCTTAATAACAGCCACACTCTATCTAGGTGTAAAGTTCTCATCAATACAAATTAATGAAGCCCAAACACAAGGTAGTTAATATAAATCGTTGAGGAGTTACCTCGACTGTCTGTCGGCTCTATCATCAGGTCGACTCCAGACCCTTATCAAATTGTAGAGTTTAAAAATCGTAATTGAAAAACATAATAGACGCATAACTCGCCCATAGAATTTTCGAAAGTTCTCCTCGGTTTCCCTAGGATCCCATCATCAGATCCTGACTTCATGGAAATGGGAGCATCTCGGGAGTATACCCTTTCAAACAAAACAAGAATTTTGCAAATCGCTTCACGCATCTCACAGTTATGCACGTACATACGTACAAAAAAAAAGCAACATACCGGCCGAACGTAAAACCTCCTCCTTTTTTGAAGTCGGATAAAAAAATCCCATATACATTGGGGTATTTATACAATGTGCAATTATGAGGGCTTCTCTTCAGTTGATGTTGTTCGATATACAGATAAAGTAAATAAATGTATTTTGATAAAATTCTTTTTTGTTTGTGTCCAGGTTCCAGCTGATAAAAATATCAATTATAAAGTAAAAAATAAGGTGGCTGAAGAAGATCACCGTCCTTCCTTCTCTGAGGACTGGCTACCACCAAAATTACTAGATAGGGAATTTACGGCATTGCTGACGTAAGTATCGAATATGTCAAGACCAAACGAATCATTATTGCTTTTTAAACAAGACTGATCATTGGTTTGCAATGTAAATAGTAAATAGTTTTAATAAATTGTAAATAGTTTTAGTAAATTTTAAATATTTATGGCTTTGTTTATTCAAACTTAGGACTCTATTTTATCTTCTTCTTTTTTGTCATATTTTTAAGGTGTAATTATTTTAGTTTTTAGTTATTTATATTTTAAGTTGTATATATTTATTTAGTTTAAATTCTTATTAAT